TCTGTAGGGAATTTGACGTTCTAAATTTTCCATTTAGTGGTGCATTTGATATTAAGGGTGGGGAATTTGAACCGGAAGTCTTAAAATTTTACCCATTTCTGTGTGCTTTCTGCATGCACAAAAAAGCTTTGCATTGGCGGCAAACACAGTTTTCTTGGATTTCGAGGGAAATTATGAAAAACTGGCTCAAAGAATCAGGCATGTGAAAGCTATGTGCTTCATTTGAAAGTATGTACTACAAAATTGTGTCAAACTGTTAAATTCGCATAAGCTTTCCAAACTTTTTAAGTGAATTTCTCTATCTTGCCGATAAATATAATTTCCCCTATATTTTGTACTCTTTGTATTTTACTGTTTGAACGTTTAATTTCTTGTTACAGTGGGGCATTTGAAGACTTTTTGACCAATCAAATTTAAAAAAATTCAAATTCCCAGGATTGGCCCTGGTGAAATTTTGAATTGATTGATACATAAGTTGAATATAAAATTTTATGCATTTCACACTCTTGGAGACTTTTAATAAGGCTCACTAGCAAAGTATAAAATATGATAACTCTGATCAAAATATTAAAGCTCATACAGAATGAGTGATATGTCATTTTGTAATGGTTCATTGAAGGAATTATGTCTATTCAGGAATTGTAATATACTAATATTCATAACTAATTAATTATATGACTGGCAACACTTTATTGGACAATTTTGCTTGTTTGAAATAATCTTGCGCCAGTTACTGTAGCTTACATTAGGAAGCCTACAGCTGTTTTGATTCTATATGTCTTTTACCCTTTTGGCTTCCTCACGATACCACCGTTTTATAAACTTCCGGGTATTTTCAAAGAGATAGTTCTTCTCATCAAGTTCAAATGAACATACAATCACTGACTGTTTTGGGAGAGTGTCATTCCAAGGTATTTGTCCTTCTTTGCTCTTAACCATAAGTGGTTGCCAGGCTGTAGTTACCTTTCCAGTGACTGGTTTCTTCTTGTAATTGCTAATATATACTGCCACAAACACTCCAGGGGAAAGTGCTTCAAGATAGTTGTCATCATGTCGAATGTCACGAACAGCAGGCGGTTGATATGGTCCTGTATAAATCTGAAAGGAAAAGATTAGCTGATTCGCAAGCTTGTTTTGTATGGTCATGCATGCCAGCAGAGGCTTTACAGTCAACTTGGCCCACCTTCAAGGACCAACTCTCCCTGCTTGTAAACTGACTAATCTAACCACTAAACAACCTACGATGAGCCATGACTGGGTTCTATCTGCAAATTTTGAGAGAAATTTGATTGATCAGTAATTTAGTATCAAAACGGACAGATTGAGAATTTGAAACTTTGATAGATTTTTTAATCAAATTAAGTGAAACTGAATGTTCTCAAACTTTACTCATCTGTATGCCTAATTTACTGCAAATGGCTGTATTGGGTTAGTGCTAGTTTTTATAAAATATTATCTTTCCTAATATATCAAACAGTAGTTAACAATTGTGCCAAGCAGGGGCGGCGCTACAGGGGGGTGTTGGGGGGTGGAACACCCCCCACTCGTCAGCTAATCGGCAAATTGTTATCTCAGTCGGCAAAACTGGATTGGCTAAAGATAACCACTGAAGAAACCAAAATTGACCTCCTGAATAATTGAATTCAAACCGAATATCACGAATAGCATGCATCAAAGAAACCACACATGCAGCAATGCAAGTTTTTTACGGTGTAAGGTTTAAAAACTGACGGGTATTGTGTATTGTGTATATACGTTAGATGTTTGAAGATCAAATTTCGCGCGTCTGGAGTTAAAATTTGGCTCCAACTTTTGAATTTTCCGGCTGGAGGTAACGTTCCAGTTATATTCCGATTTCAATGATTCGTAAATGCGTGATTAATAGTGCTCCAAGACGTGGAACAGATTTTAAGAAATGCCGAGATTTTGACTTTTCGAGGGCTGCAAAATGGATGCCGACAGGAATTTTGGGTTTTCTGATTATGCGTGTCTCAGAATGATGCAAATGCCATTTCCGGGATTCAAATTTAAAAATTTTCCGTGCCTTCGGCACGAGCCTCCCCCCCCCCAATATTTCATAAAATGTCCGCCACTTGCACACACGGTGGCTTAAAAGGTCTTAAAACTGTTTATTCTACCGATAAATAAAGGGTTTTTTATTGACTGGGATTTCAATAACTCGGACTGGGATTTCTAATAAAAATCCAACTGGGACTGGGATTTTGCCAAAATTTCAGGTGGAAAATGGGGTTGGGACCCCCCCCCCCTTCAGGACCCTCACTATAGGCTAATGACTCGGCAAAATTACCAAACAACAGTCGGCAAAAGATCACTCACCCCCCCCCTCCCACTCGAAGAGGGTTAGCGCCGCCCCTGGTGCCAAGAAGGTATGGGTTGAGTTGTTCAGTGGGCCAAGTTGTTCAGTGGGCCAAGTTGTTCATTGGGCTGAGTTGTTCATTCGGCCGAGTTGTTCATTAGGCCGAGTTGTTCTTTAGGCCGAGTTGTTCATTAGGCCGAGTTGTTCATTAGGCCGAGTTGTTCATTAGGCCGAATTGTTCATTAGGCCGAGTTGTCCAACTTCCTCAGCAGAGTGATCTTGATGGAAGGGGGAGCATGGGCTATATTTCCAATACACAACAACTAAAAAATTAATCATTTTATAAACATATACTGATGTTTGAAAGAGAGCTCAGTGACTGTACTCTTAACATTCACATTACCAAATCATTTTACTATAAGTGATAGGCCCATGGTGAGACCTTGTTCCTAAATGACTGTGTTACTTGCTTTCTTGTTAATGATAGAATCATTTACCTCTTCTAGGGGTGCCAACTCCTTTTCTCTTAATGTCCTTAGTCGTTGAGATATCTCAGCAGTTTCCTTTGTTTCTGTAATTGGCCTCTGCAGATTATTTTTCAGAGAATATGGATTGGGCATTCAGTGTCTTTTTGAGCATGGCATATGTTGTCTTCAATCCCCTCCAAAAAGCTTTCCCAACAATCTTTAGCTGATGGTGGTATCACAGAATACCACTTTAGCATATCGGATTTAAGTTGTGGTAGATCAACTTTGGTGTAATCTGTTGGCAAAGGTGGGGGTATGTTTTGAGGTACTGACTATAAAGAAAGAGTAAATGCAGAAAGGTGCCGATTAGAGTTATATACCGGGTGACCAAAAAAAACTTGTGCTGTTTGATTTCACGTTTACAAGGTAAAAACTATAAAAGCTATTACACTCAAATTTAACTTTAAATTTATTCTATCGAGGAAAGGCTAAATATCTATATAAAGGTGACGAAGTTAGTAAAGAAATTAAACAAAAGATTAATACAGCCCTAAAATATAATACTTTATAAATGAGTAAAACAATTGAGGAACACAGTTAATCCACCTTAATTAACAATTTTTTTATTAGCATTTAAACTTAATTAACTTTCTTTCGGGCAGTAGCCTAGTAAGTTACATACATATATACACACATACGTACATACATAAACTTTATTTCAGTGCCAACTGCCAAGAATACATAGCCGACATTTAAAAATGTTTGAAGGCTTATTTGATGTCCTTTGAGAGTTCGTATTGTAAAGTTGGTCTGCAGATATGCCTCGATAATCAACAAAAGATCAAACAGTTTGGGTTTTAATGGTTTCCCATGCAAAGGATTGTATACGTGAAGGAAAGGAAACACTTTCTCTGATGAATGAATAAATGTTTATCCAACAATTATGTTTTTCATTCACTCACTCTTTTGGCCACAATAAAACCATACAATATCAAGTATAACCAATATTTGATATAGGCAATTTTATGCAATTTTTTTAACATTCAACTCAAATATGCTTATTCGATTTAAAACATTGATAGCTCAGTCAATGTTGCATGGACATGCAAGTGTTATATACCAAAATCTAAGTTAGCCTGTTCTGAATACAACGAGTGTAATAACTTTTATGAATTCTTATGAATGTTACCTTGAATCAAACAGCGCAAATTTTTTATGGGACACCAGGTAGTATAGCTACTGTAAGGTGCAAAGGAGAATGTACCAGTAAGGTAGTTATTAACCCATGGAGCTTCAATGCGCCCCAGTGCACCATCTAACGGCAGACTATTTTACTCATCAGTGGGGAAACTGACTGCAGCTTAATGGGTTAATTAACTTACAGTAAGCTCATACAGATAATTCCAGAATTATTTATTTGCATTATTCACAGTATACAGTGCTATTTTGCCTGTACGGTTATGTTTTAATCATTCAGTCCAAAGAGTTCAAATAGGACACTGACCTTCAGTAGTCGAATGGGACCCATCCATTGCTCACCGCTCCATTTTCTGTAATACATTAAAACTTCACGCTCCTCATTTCTTACAAACTTAAAACAATGAGGTTGAACATGCTGGTGAAGATTATGACTATGGGGATTTAACCACTCTTTAATGTCGTACATATTGCATAGCCTGATTGACTGTGCATGTGGCTTGCTTGTACACTGTTCAAAAGCATTCTGTAAATCTAAAATTATACAGTACCGTACGTGATAAATTAATAGTCACAGTGGGTTGTGTTACCAGATTATAGGGATGCAGTAATAATAATTTACTCAGTTATATTCAGCCATTGAGTGGTAGCACTCTCACTTTAACAGGTAAAATTCTGTTATATGTCATTTGTCATTCGATGTACTGTAGATGTACCAGGTATTTATTTGACCCCTTGAGGTGCATTTTATTATTTTATTCTGTCTAACGTTTGGCGATTACTTGTGAAGTGGAGAGTGCTGGAGAGGGTTAAATATTCAAAATATATAATACATCACATTTCATTTTGCATATATAAAACTAACTATCAACCGTATATATATCTTGCAATTTCAGGTCCTTTGAAAAGCAGCCAAACAAGGCATCAATGTCTTCATGGGTGTGCCCAACTGGTAAAAAGTTTCCTTTTATCTAAAAGGTAATTGTTGACATAATATTACATAACAGTTAAACATTAAATGAAGGGGGCATCGTGTGTTGTTTTTCCTAGAATACATTGACTGGTTCTTTAAAAGTTGGTTAGTTTATTAATGTGAAACTTATGTTAATTAAGTTAATTTAATGAGAAAAAAAACCTTCACAGAAATATGTTTCTCTGTATATAGCTATCTTTTCTGCATCAATAAAAGTTTTATTTTCTAAAGTTTTAAAAGTCAAGTATAATGGTGCTTTAAAAAACTGGGCTCCATGACATAATCTGCTATACCTTGTCAAACACAGACCATTCTATTAATAATGATAATTGTGTGAAAACACGCTTATTCTTATTTTCACGCCAGCAGTTATCTAGTTGCAAGTTAAGCACTGGTGGCAAACCAAACCAATCATTAAATGTCTCTAGTAATTTCAGCAGTATATGTTCGATGTTAAGTTGCTGTCATGCTTCCACTGAAAAAGATCGAAAGTATGTTTTTCCCATGTGAACTATTGCACCAACAAGGTGTATCCGCAGCCTTTGCAGATTTGCAGTGGACTTGCAGATTCGACGTTCATTTGGGACGTCAGTTTTAGATTGATCCATGGCATCCAAAATTTTTGTCAATAACTTTGATGGACTCCTTCGAGCTTTATATCGATGAATTAAGGTGATACTTCTCTCTCTCATTCCTAAAGGAAAAGTTAGGAATCCAATCACCTGAATACTGTAACTGTTACAAGTGACCAATGATTAAGACACAGGCAATAAGGCTCAAAATGCTTATAGCTGTTTTATTAATTCTAGGCAGTTACTATAACCACATTTTCCATTATGGATATTACACGTATTTCAGTTGTACATGCAGTACTTGACATAGAGTGTTTTACTTGACCTAATATGACTCGATCGGGTCAAAGGTCTAGTAATTTAAGTTCCTGAAAAGTTCCTGACAGTGTAGGCAAAAACATGCCAAGTCTCTAATTTTTCACTTCTATGGCATACTACAGTATATGAGATACAGCATCTGAACACATGATTACCTATATTTTTTTTACTTATGATTACTTATATCAATTAGTAATAAATATGTATAATTATAGTTACTTATAGTGTGCCAAATGCAATAATATATTTTTGCAGGATATATATATATATATATTACTTCGTTACTTTACTTAAGTAAAACGAAGTATTTTTTTAATGAAGTACTTTTTACTTGTAACGAAGTACGATTTTTGGTAAATATTTACTTTTTTACTTCGTTACTTTTGTTATATTTTGGCGAAGTAAAAAGGTATTTCTCAAAGCGGTGAGTGGACTGGAATATATGTATGGAGGTATTTGAAGAATAAAGTTATTTTACCACGTTACTTACACGTTTGAGTGTTCTATTCCTGCTTAAACCTTTGCGAATTTATATTCTATTTCAGTAGTACTTTTACTTAAGTATATTTTCCCAATACTTTTCTTTTACTTAAGTAAAATTTTCAGGCAGTACTTTTACTTTTACTTAAGTAAAAATTTCAGGCAATATTTTTACTTTTACTTAAGTAAAATTTTCAATCAGTACTTTTACTTCTACTTAAGTAAAAATTGAGGTGTTACTTTTCACTTTTACTTAAGTAAATATTTTGAGTACTTTGCTGAACACTGACTATTAGCTAGTTGTACTAGCTCAGAACCTTTCAATTTTACTGCACAAAAGGATTTCTGAAAACACTATACCGACTTCATAACCTCCGTGAGGAGTTTACGTTTTCATCGGAATATGTGGGTTTTGGTTGCCTTTCTCAAAGATAGCTCAGTAAGTATCAAACGTTTAACTACCAAAATTTGTATGGCAAATGTTGATAGTCCGCGGACATATCGATTAGATATTTTGTGCCATTTGGACGAAAATTTAAAAAAAAATTAGAGAAATTTATCTTTTCTGACTCTGCCAGCTGAAGAAAAGCCAGTGGGTAAATAGCCTATTGTATAATTTATTCATAATACCTGACATGATATACCAAAGATATAATAAAAAACTGATAAATAGTTTATAAGAAATCGGCAACGGATTTTTTATAGGCTATACCTTTGTTCTCCTTGGTCGTTTCAGTAGGGATATGCATGAATGTATTTCATTTGTAATGGAAATGATCCAGTTTGGAGTAAATGGCGAACAATTGCAAATTCTGCCTAATTGAGGAATGTCTTTTAGAAAACTATATCTCCCGCTTAGTTGAGCCGTGTGACGTCATTGGCAGGGGAAATTTAATTAGCATGCATTGTAAGTATTATATAAAATAACTAAATTAAAAAAGAACCGCCGCATTCCTGTCGCTAGCTCTAAGTTTCATAATTAGGCAGAATATGTTCGCTGTTTACTTCGAACTGGAGTTTCTTCTTCGCGAAAGTGACGTTGTTCAAACTCAAAATTTGAAAGTTGGTCAAAATTTTCCCCAAAAAGTTGGTCAAAATTTGAGGACCCCCCCCAATGTTCATGCCTTCGCGACGTCCCTGTATGTATTATTGTGAAGATTTGTATATATTTGTTCTGTAACAGGTTACTAACGTGCATGACTCACGCTGTGTTAGTGTTCCTGAACCGTCTTCCTGTTTGTATATGTTTATATTTGTGTTGATGGCTGAAGGTAAATAAATAAATAGTAAAGTAGGTGATATACTGATTTGCTGTTAATTTTGATTCACATGCATCAGTACAGAATACAAAACTCAAGCTTGGCGATGATTGAGAATAACTGTCTGACGATCTTATATAGCAAAAAGCAAATAGATTTATATGAAGTCATTTACTTCAAAAATATTGTTTGACCATTGTCCTGGTATTGCCATAATACATTTGGCATTAAATCAGATCCCAACATTTTACTTTGTTCTGAGGTCAAGGAGTTTAAAATAGACATTCATTTGGACGGAAATAAACCTGAAGAGAATTCCAAGTGGTCTGAAATAGGGGAAGTATGAAGGGGAAATGAGTGCGAGTGGCATGAAGTAGACTTCACAGGAATAATGTATGCGGCCTGAAATTAGTTTCACAGGGTAAATCTACAGCGATACTAACTTCACGCGCCGCGTATTGCTAGGTAAAGTTCCCAAAGTCTCCCTTCCATGCTGATGACAAGTATACGTTCAAAAGAAATAAATTTTAATGGTATATCCACTCTGTTAATTATGAATACTTTACGAAAGCTAATGGTGGCTATACATGCAAGCCATCCAAGACAATCGTGCAAATCGTCACGTCTGATATTCTATAATCGGCCTAAAAATGAACAACAAAACATGTTTTATTAATTTGAAACTGACTTAATTTAATATGATATAAGAACACTCTTTCAACTTTTTCGTATCTCGCTTATAGTTACTGCATGCCGTAGGCAGCACCCCTATATTCAGTAATGATGTGGTTGCTTGCACCAGTCCATTTCCTATTCGCCGAACTATGTGGATAATTAAACCTTCAAGGTTCCGTAGAGTCGTTGTTGAGGAACTTAATTACCGTGTTTGTGGGCTTTTTTATTACTCGGGCAATTAAGGCATGGCTCTTCGCTTTTAAACCCTTTTCTGTATCTCCTAGAGTTACTTATCAGGAAATAGGTAGTAATTTGTAGTTTTGTTTCCATGGCAATGAGGGTCACGTGACTCGCTGGCAGCCATGATAGATAAAAATACAAAAACCGCTTGAGGCACGCAAATATGTAAAAATCATTAGTAAAAATTAAAAAATTAAGGTCATTTGATGCAAATAGTGATCTAGATAATTATCATGCTAACTTTAAATGTTTTCTAATGGTCCTAATTAAGAGTGACAAATTTATGATTGTTGCATACTAAATACCTTATAAGGGAATGAGATTTGTCACTTATATCTTACAATGATAATGTGTTTAATTTTTTTTTCATGTGCATAGCCAAAATGTTTTATTCGACAGGCACAGCCTGGGATGAATTGTTAAGATCATTAACAATTGTCTATATGCGACCTCAGTAACCCAGTTAGGAAACTAAAAATATTAACACAATGAATGTTCACATCTAAGAGACCATTTATTAATTGTTTCTAGAATTGCTTCTGAAGCCACACGACTTGGCAATTTCAAATTTTATAAGAAATGGCTAATTAAGGAGAAAATTAAAATTTAAAGTAACTCCATTAGAACACGTGCCCGGACTAAGTGTGTAATTTTCGCCAGCAATATGATATGGGATGGGTCAACGCTTCATTTGCTATGATTGGCTAATGACTCTGCCGTTTCCGTGGCAACAGAAGTAGTTTCCTGTTTCACATACGCTTGTCGTCGCGAACATTTTGCCCTTCGGTCAAATAAACTCTCGTGATTATTCAACTAAATTGACTGTAGGTATTTGCGTTAGGCGACTTACCTAAACATTTTGCCGTTGGCTTAAACTGACTGTTGTTATTATTATTTCACTAAATGGTCAAAGGGCCGTATTTCCATGAGACGCATTTTGCCCTTCGCTGTAACTGACTGTTGTTATTATTATGAAAATGAAATGGCCGTATTTGCATGAGACGACGCATTTTACCCTTCGCTCAAACTAACTGTTGTTATTGGGATTATTGAACTAAACTGTCACAAGGCTGTATTTGCGTGACACAGTCATGCCCTTCGCTCAAACTAACTCTTGTTATTATTGTCATTATTATTGTTATTTAACTAAATGGCCAAAAGGCCGTATTTGTGTGAGATGCATTTTGCCTTCGCTCAAACTGACTGTTGTTATTGTTATTATTATTAATATTTAACAGAATTGTGTATAGTCTGTATCTGCGCGAGACGCATTTTGCCCTTATACGAGTTCATTGGCGAAGTAATTTTTAAAATAAACTTTGTCTAAACCGAGAAAATCAAAGCTAAAGTTTATGTAAATTAACATGATTTTTTTATCACATTTAAAACCACGACACGCTTATGATTTTTCTTTGTGTTTTGCTTCTGAATTATTAATGAGTTTTTTAATATTTGATATAACTAAACGGACTATATGTATTCAAATACACAGAAATATAGAATAGAAAGCAGCAAATAGAGAAATTCTGTGAGGCGATAGCAACAACAACACGCAATGCACGCTAGGATATTTACCTCAGAATGTGAGGTAGATATCCCATGAAACCACAGGCGTAAAATTACACACTTAGTCCGGGCTCATCCTGTTTAATGTATGTGTTTTATATAATACCGCTACTATATAATGCTACTAATTAGTATAAGTAAGCAACATATTTTGTTTATGCCGGATTATCCTAGTAGGGAATACTGCAATAGCAATCATAGAAAAGAATTCGATGTAAAAAATATAAAGCATTAACACACGATGAGCAATCAGTTAAATCGATGAGCAGGTCTGTTCTCAGGTTCTAAGGTTCAATTTTACAGCAGCGATATTCATATCTCCATTGATCATGTCCACCATTTCTGTGCAGTTGGAACGTGGTTAAAAAGTACCCCTTTTTTTTACATTCAACTTTTTGCCTGTCAAGATAGAAATTCTTGCCTTCTCCGTCAGTAGTGAAACTGGTATAATGTGTGTCGCATTTCATTCTTTTACGTTGATTTTCATTGAACAATGTGCAACAGTGATAGTTGTACCTGATATGATCGTGCCCACCATTCCTTTCCAGCCAAAAGTCGCGGACATAACCATGGTCATTGCAAGACATTCGTTGCCGGTCCAAATAGAACGCTTCGCCGTCGTCATCATGATAGGTAAAAGAATTCATTACTTTTTCATTGCGGCAGACAGATGCTTTCAAGGTACAGCATCTGTACTTGTACCTAATGTTGTATCCTTCTCGGCGCAATTCAAACATTTGAAGAACATCGAGGTTATTTGGACATTGGACTTTTTGGCGGTCGAGGTAACCTATATGACCCCATCCATGTGCATTCCAGTTGCTATAGTGAATGGAGCATTTCTCGTCACATGACTGTTCGTCTTCATTGTTCCCACAATCATTATCATAATGTTATTTTCTGCGGTTCGCAGATTAGCAGAAAATTGATGTTTCCACGGTTCATCAAACACGTGACTGCCATGTTCATTGGCAGGGCGCCAAAGTGGTCACATGATTTGGGAAGCTCATTCTAGTCTGGCACTGCATCAACACACACAAAAT